ATGTCCATGCCTGCTTCATGGTGTGGCTCTCTTTGTTTTTTTTTAATACCTTTTTTAATGTATCTTATATGATGGGACTGTGGGCTTCGCGGCCCTGTTTTATACAGTGTTATTTGGACCCCGGTGCAGGCCTTACATGTGTATTTTTCTGTTTTTGTATGATGTTTCCCTGCCCTCCATTGTCTAAAGTTGCTTTATGTCATGCGATTTGTTATGGTTTGTATGTTTCTATCACCTTGTTTAATAAAACATTTGGTACAAGAAAATTATACCTAGTGATACTTTTTCAGGAACTTTCTATTATGCGATGACAGCTGCCAATAGTTTTTATTTTTTTTGTCACACTGTCAAACATGCCCCTGGTGGCTGTGCTTACACATACTGAGCAGGCATGGTCCACCATTGCCACTGCCAAGAAGCTCGTCCTGAACAATGCTGAGCAATAATGTACAGCTGACATTGGAAGAAGTTCATGTAGACAGTGAGAGGTTGGAGAGGACCAGCAGCACTGATATGCAAAAGAAAGAATAAAGGTTAAAAAAAAACATTTATCTTAATATGAAATACATCGAGTACTGACCAGGACTGCTGATTTAAAAATTCCTGGGTATCCCTCAGTAATCCTCAAATATTATATCTGTATACTTCTTGTATATTTGTGTATTTTTAACCACTTGCCCTCCTGAGGATTTACCCCCCTTCCTGACCAGGCCTTTTTTTGCGTTACTGCGCTGCGTTACTTTAACTGACAATTGTGCGGTCATGCAACGCTGCACCCAAATTAAATTTTGCGTCCTTTTTTTCTCACAAATTAAGCTTTCTTTTGGTGGTATTTGTATGCCTGTGTGTTTTTTATTTTTGCGCTATAAGCAAAAAAAGACTGACAATTTTGAGAAAATAACAATATTTTGGACTTTTTGCTATTAAACATGTCCAGTAAAAAAATTTTAAAAATCTAATTTTGTCATAAATGTAGGCCAAAATGTATTCTGCTACATGTCTTTGCTAAAAAAAAATCCCAATACGTGTAAACTAATTGATTTTCATGAAACCTATAGTGTTTACAAATGACGGTATAGATAATGGGATTTTTTTTTTTTCTACCAGTAATGGCAGCAATTAGCGACTTTTATCAGGACTGCGGGGCTGCTGACACTGGGGGGGAACTAACTTGGTGTCACTGACACCCCAGTGACACCAATACAGTGATTAGTGCAAAAAAAAAAGCACTGACACTGTACTAATGACACTGGTCAGGCAGGGGTTAATGTGAGGGGCGATCAAAGGGTTAACTGTGTGCTGGGAGTGTTTTACTAGGGGGGGCAGGGGGTGTGTTCTTCACTGTAAGTACACTGATCGGATTGGCTGTACTGTGCTCAGTCATCCCAAGCAGTGTGCTCGAGCTGACAGGGAGGAAGATTGTCTGTAAACAAAACAATCTTCCTCCCCGTCGAAGATGCTCGGTAATCACCGAGCGCCGGTGGGTAATTACCGTCCGGGACCCGATGATTGACATCCACGGCCATGAATGGTGGCGCAAGTAGGGCGAGCGTGAGACTTTCACGCAATTCAGAATGACGTATATATACGTGATCCTGCTACAGGGCAGTCCTTAAACGGTTAATATGCTTATTTTCTCATTGTAAAGCGATGTGTAATGCTTTTTGTAGTGTTCTGTCTAGAAAAAACAGGGTGCAAATATTCTGAAAACATTGCACATAAACTTCAAAAAAGAAGGTGTAATGTATTTTTGGATCTAACTTTCATCAAAATATCGGGTAAGAAAATTAGCTCAGAGCACAAGACACAACAGTGCCACTAATTAGTATTGCAAATACTTATAAAAGCAACTAAGTGTACCTACTTTTTTATTTAGTTATCATATTTCACACTGTGTGCAATGATGATTTCACACAGAGATGATAATTATTTCCTTTAAAAAGATGTTACGCTAAAACCTTAGTGATCTATATGACTTCGTTGAAAAGTTATTCCTCGTTAATTACTAATAATTATCCAGCATTTTTCTCAGTAATTTAGCCAGAGGATGGCAATGTTTTGTGTTTTTATTTCTGCAAAGTTACTAATTGGGCTAAGCCTTGTGACAAATGGCTCCCAGTGATAAGTGAGTAGCCTGGAATGAGATATATTATGCATTGCCAGATTATGGTGTCTTTTTCTTTTTTTTTTGCTAGATAAAGTCTCCAGAGGGAGACTAAAAACTAGTACACGATGAGAAAATCAGACAAATGATCGTTCCTTTTTTTTGCATGCTACTCTCATATCAAATACAAGAATACTACTAAGAGTATGAAAATTTTCATACGATCCAGTACAACCTCCTGTGTGCATAGCAACTTTGCAATTGGAAGTGTTGTCATGTACGTTTAACCCCCTCTGCAAACAATTACAACATTGTCGCAATAATATTATCACTTTATTATTACTATTATGCTGGATCTGTTTCTATCCTGAAAACAATATTTTTTTGGCATTTAAGAGCATTTTCCTTGTAAACAAAGATTGTTTTTGTTGTCCTTTCTCCTTATGGGTTGTTCGCCTATATCATACGCTGTCTTGGTCACTCGTTTTTTATGAATCGAGTACTGTACTGAATAAATGAAAATCGTTCATTCTGTTACCTTATGAGTAAAACGTTTGTGCTTGTCCCTTTGGATAATTTTGCACGAACTGTCATGATTGACTCTCAAAAGCTGTGTACTAACAAGCAGATTATCCAACGATCGCCTTGTGTACTAGGCATAAGGTTTAGGTAGAGCTAATTTTTTTCTGGGGCTCTAATGTTTTTCCAGGGTAAGAGTGGGGGGGGGGGGTGCTGCCAGACCCCTACTTCTCTTCAGGATGAGTGGGGTGCCACTCAAAGAGGAGAATATTCTATCTGTATGCATCCTCTTCTGTGGCTGTATAAGAGCCAGGAATTACTATGGAGCTCCTAACTTGGACGATGAGGTTCTATGTTCACACTTGGTTCCTCTGCAAAGGCAAATTGTCTATTTTCCTGCTTTAAAAATAAACATGGGCACAAATCCTAAAAGTATATCTAAACCTAAAAACTATTTTTAGTTTTGGATAGAATAGGCAAGGATTTTGAACCCCTGTCCGTTTTTATTGCTGTCTGTGGCTCCACAATGTATAATATCTAGTGTCCAGGTACACAGTATGAGGCTAATTTACTAAAACTGGAGAGTGCAAAATCTGATGCAGTTGTGCATGGTAGCCAATCAGCTTCTAACTTCAGCTTGTTCAATTAAGCTTTGACAAAAAAAAACCTGGAAGCTGATTGGTTTTTATGAGTTGCAGCATATTTTGCACTCTCCAGTTTTAGTAAATCAAACCCTATATGATTTGATTATATCTAGGATCGAAACAACAAATGTAGTATCACCATAGACAGACACTCTTGTAAATAAAATAGAAAGCAAACACAGTTTTATATATAGTACATTTAGCCCTCATGGACACTGGGTGTTTTGATAACACTGGTAACGTTAGCTGCATAAAGTCACATTAAAAATGTGAGGTTTTTTTTTAGCATTTTTCCATAGCATTTAGTGGTGTTTTGCAGTGTTTTCTCGTTTTTTCACGTTTGCATTTTTTTAGCGTTTTTTTTTTACCAAAAACCCCTCTTTTTTTTGGGTCCAAGAAACGTCCAAAAATGCCAGTTTGTGCCAGATTACCACATTTTGCCGTGTTTTTCAGCTTTAGAGTGTTTTTACAGCTAAAAAAACTCTTCTAGAAACCCACTAGTCCTGAGTTTTTTTTCGAGCCAAAAAAGTCCCAGCCAAAAAACGTTGATTACAGTCTATGTGTGCATGGACACATAGGATAACATGCTGGGGGGTTTACTACCTGTAGGAAAAATGTCAAAAGCCAAAAACAGCAGTTGTAAAAACGTCAAGTGTGCATGAGGAATTAAAGTGCATGGAAACCACATCAAATAATTTCTCGGATATGCTACCTTTTGGCAGCCCATTGGTACCATTGAAACCATTTTGTTTTATCTGTTTTTATTAGTGCAAAATATACCTGTTAATTTTTTAAAGGACTATTTAGCCCCCCAATTTCTTATCTTGGACTACACATTGATTAGCCCTCGTGCTGTGGATAAGAAGACAGTGGGAGTGATTTAGCAAAAGACAATGGGCAGGGCTAGCACCATACAGTCCACCAAAATGGTATATGTTTTTAACTCATGAGTAGAAATCAAGAGCGGAGTTAATTTCTGGCAGATCATCCGGATCAATGGGTATTTTCAGTACTTGCAGGATCTTTAACCACTTCCAGTCGGACACTTTTAGCCCCTTCTGTCCAGGCCAATTTTCAGCTTTCAGTGCTATCACACTTTGAATGACAATTACGCGGTCATGCAACACTGTACCCATATGAATTTTTTAGCATTTTTTTGAGACAGATAAAGCTTTATTTTGGTGGTATTTATTCACCACTGGGATTTTTATTTTTTTTTTTGCTATGTAAATGAAAAAAGTCCAAAAATTAAAAAAAAAGTTTTTCTTATACAATTTTGCAAATAAATAGTATTTCATCAAAAATCTTGGCCAAAATTTATTCCGTTATCTTTTTAGTAAAAAAAAAAAAAAAAAAAACCAAATAGTTTATAACCAAAATTATAATTTTTAATACTTTTTTTTACATTTTTTTTTAATTTTTTTATATTATTATTTATGTTTTTTTCACCATGGTGATACTGTACTACTTGTGGGGGGTGATGAAGATTTTTTTTTTTCTTTACACTGATTGCTTCTACACCCATAAAGGCTGTAAAAGCAATCATTTCTCCTCTCTAGCTGCATTCTTGCAGCCACTGAGAGAACTACTTGTGAGCTTGATTGGTCACAGATTGTCACATGGTACAAGGCTGTTGTGAACTGACAACCCATGGGGCCCCCGGGCAATAGAGGATCATGGGGCCCCTGTGTCCTTGCCCCAAACTCAAAAAAGCCTATGAAAAAGGTACCAGGGTTTGTGGGGATCCCTGCGCCCTTCAGTGCCCAGATTTCAAATGGTCAGTCCGCCCCTGGAATAGCCTTTGTAACCATGTGACTTCTGTGATCATGAAGTCACAAGTGACATCTTGCTTACTACAATGCATGTGATCACTGATTGGCCAATCAGTGATCACATGATCGGGACCTCGCACAGAGGTCCCGTCCGACGATTGGTGTTCCACTGTGTCTGGAGGACACAGCGGGCACTGGATCGCGGTGCTGCGTGCTCCAAGGGAGCGCGCACAACGCAGGGGTCGGGAGGCCGTTTATAAATGGCCACCCGACCCTGCACTGCCACCGTCCCGCCGTTTATATACAATGGCCGGATGCAAGGTGGTTAAAGAAAAAAACAATGGCAAATATCCATGTTTTGCAGAGATATACTGCATGTTTTTTTTTTTTTTTTTTTTGTCTGGACATATACTTTAAAACATGTATAAAGTGTTTTAAGTTTGTTTAAGACCCTCTCTTTTTCCATTTTCTGTTCTGTACCCATTATGACACCCACATGCAGAGCATTCCGCATGCTCAATGATCTTTTTTTTTAATATATATCAAATTTTTTAGGAGAAAGTAAGTATACTGACATTAAATATAATTTATATGAGGACGGATATCTATCTGTTTATCTATTTAGTTGTTGGTTGTGGGAAAAATGTGATAAATAAAACATTCTATTTACATTGTTGGGACCTGTTTTCCTTTCTTCTTGCAGCTTAATGACATTATAGTAAGCACGCCTGGGACCGCTATGCAGATGTACTTCCTGGAGACATTGCTGCTCAAAGACAAGCCATTACTTTTTGTCGGCCCCACAGGCACTGGAAAGACAGCTATTACAAACAGCTTCCTGCGACACTTACCCCAAGAAAAAATATGTTGTATGTCAAATTAACTTCTCAGTGCAAGCTTCAGCTAATCAGACCCAGGACATCTTCCTAACAAAACTCGAAAGGTACCCTGACTTTTAATTAAAATCAAGTGTGTAATAGTGCTGAATCTGCTCCACAGAGACTACCTCACAAAATAATATTAACCGCTCTGCTTCAGCCTCTGACAGTGCAAATGAAATCTGATTTGTTTCACTCTGCACTGTTTACAGGCACGAAAACTACATTTTAATTGTTGTTGACAAAGATTCTGATTTATATGGAGCAGGAAATAGAACCCAATGCAAGAGAGCATGTGTCGTTTTAAATTTTTCTTATGAAAACTCTTCCATGGGAGAATAAATAGACATCTGGTCCTGGGCATTCTGCAGTCCATGGTATATTAAAATGAATCACTAAATTGTGACTTAATAGGAAATAAGGGCCATCTGTCAATGTAAGATCAAAGCAGCAGGTGCATACTTGCCAACAAAAGGAGGGTGAAGGTAACGTCTTTGAGGCTGAGATTGTAAAATGCTTTTTTTTTTTTTCCCCTTACAAACACACCATGTTATTGTGTAATGAAAGCATGTCTTTGAGGTTGAGATTGTAAAATGCATTTTCTTCCTTACAAACACTCCATGTTTCTTTGTAACTAAAGTATCTGTGTATGTAATATACCTTTGATATATAATTATGGTACATGTGGTATAATATGAATATTATATACTGTATAATACAGTATACGGTGTGTAGACTATCTGCATCGTAATATACTAAATAGCTATTTCCTTTGAATCCATGGCCTTAGTTTTATGCTTTCCCTTTGCTTTTTATTTCCTTGCAATTAAGCAAATCGTCTGTCAAAGCAGAACTCTAGTCAGGTTAGAAAAATAGCATTTAGGTTTACCTTCCCCTGATTACTAAGGGTCTAATGCTTGCTTAATCTAGGGGAAAATAACAAAGAGAAATACATTATTCCTTGCAAATTCTAAACATTTATTGTCAAATTACAATAAGGGGTTGATTTACTAAAACTGAAGTGTGCAAAATCTGGCGCATCTCTCCATAGAAATCAATCAGCTTCTAGATATATTGTCGAAGCTTAACTGAACAAGCTGAAGTTAGAAGCTGATTGGCTACCATGCCCACATACACCAGATTCTGAGTGCTCCAGTCTTAGTAAATCTCCGCCTTAGTGTCAAAGCAATGTTTCTAGACTAAGCAGGACTCCTTTGTAGCGCATGCAATTACATGCCTGACAAAGGGGTCTAACATGTCTCAAAATGTTGCACTGACACTGATTGTGATGTCATTAAGAAGAACCAACAACAAGGCTAGCTGCTAAATTGCACTATGTATATGGACTCATGCACATTCCAATTGTGTTTTGGAACTGATAAAGAAGCATTCGCCTTGAAACTCGTTTTCCATCACCTGTAGCCTCTTGGGCTCTTTCATCTATAGTCCCTGGGATTGGAGAATTGCTGATGTCACGTCATGGCGGTGATGTCATTTCCGGTCCGAACCATCGCCATCTTTCCAGTTGTTCTTTGACCATCACTCGGGCAGAGCGATGTCATGGAACACCGTAGCTCCTCACTGCCAGGATGATCTGGTGACTTCTTCACCTGGAACCCACACATATTTCCACTGGCTTGGTTCATATATGGTATACCATCTACCATTTACCATCTACCTCCACATTTCAACAGGAGATATTCCCATGACTGTGGTGAGATTTAGCTTTTAGCTGATGGACTGAACTTTTTCCTTAGGCACTAGTTATATACAATCATTTATGACATTTCCAATCCTCGGTGTGCTGTTTTTCTTTTCTTTGGATATACTGATAGTGATGTAATCATATTATTAACCACTTCCCACCCTGCCTATTGTAACATGACTCCTGGAACATGCATCACAAGCAGGTCATGCAGTGGAGCAATCTGTCACCGGCTGTGGCTGGGCAATGGCAATGACAGATCACTATACAGGGCTGCTGCCAATACCATGTGATCGCTGTGATCAATCACAGCAGATCACATGAGAATTGTGAACAATGAATGGATTCAATTCATGCCATTCATTGTATACAAGTGTGCTGCTAGCTGTGATTGATCACGGTGATCACAGGGTACCCACAGAGCCAATCCAAGTCTATATGTACCATGTGATTATCTGTGTCATATCACAGCTAATTACAACAATACACACTGAATGAATCAATTTCAGTCAATAAAAATGGTTGCTTATACCAGTGACATTCACTGATATAAGCAATCATAATGTGTAAAGAAACAAAACTCTTGATCACTTCCCCAGAGTAATACAATGTTACTATGGTAACACTGTATAGCTCTGGTCACAGTGTGTTAAAAAAAAATTGCTAAAAAAAAAGAAAAAAAAAATTAATACAAAAATAAAAAGAAATAAAAAAAAAAGATTATTACTTTTTTTACATACTGTCTCCAGTCAGTGTCCCTGATCCCCACCACACCAGTTGTATGATGACACTGTACTGCACTGGTGACAGTATGTTTAAAATTGAGGGTTTTTTTTTTATTTCTTCATTTTCCAAAAAATTATGACAAAAAAATTACAACTTTTTAAAAACTCGCTATGCCTCTTACTAAATACCTTGAACTGTCTACTTTCCAAAAAGGAGTCATTTGGGAGATATTTGTACTGTCCAGACATTTTTGGACATCAAGAAATGTGATTGACTGTCAGTACATCAGGATCGATTTTCAGATGTATCCCATAGTTTGTGGACTCTATAACTTTCCTACAGATTAAATAAAAAGCACTGATTTTGGTTATTTTCAGCAAAGAAATGTAGCAGAATACATTTTGTCCTAAATTTTTGAAGAAAGATTTTATTACAGAAACAAAGAAAAATGCATTTGTTTAAAAAATGTTGGTTTATGGGTACAGTGTTGCATGACCGCACAATTGTCATTCAAAGTGTGACAGTGCAGAAAGATGAAAATTGGCCTGGGCAGGAAGTGAGTGAAAGTGCTTGGTATTGAATCGGTTAACATTTTGACTATACAATAAAGAATATGTTACCTCAGCATTTTATATTCCTGATATGTGTGTTGTATCATGTACTTGTATTAACCATTTGCTGGGTGCCCCATAGCAGATATACTGCTACAGGGCAGCCACGCTGTGCAGAATCACGTATATAAATGTGATTCTGCACTTCCTGTTTGCGGGTTCATGTGAGCGCCTCTGGTGCGTTACTTCTGCTGTGATTTGTCAAAGCAGAAGCCAGTCAGTGGGTGCTGGTCAATGCATGAGTGCTGACACCTGCCGATCGTCTAGGAGAATTCTCCCCGTACTACCTGTCAAACACGGCCGTGTCATTCATTCACGGACTTCTGTGAATTAATGAACTGCAAGTCCCAGCAGCCTTAGCGGCTGTCGGCTTGTAGTTTTCAATTAACTACCATGGCGCTTTGGAGCACAGTGATAGTTCACTGATTCTTCCTGTTAGTATATCTGCTTCCTCGTACATCCCGTATAGCAAGCACATATTCTGACAGGTCTGCAGGAGATCTGCATGGCATCAGCAATCTACTGATCACTGGTGCAATGCTTTCCAGGCTACCTGCAAAAAAAGTGAATTTATTTTTTTTGTTTAAAACAGGTGAACTTATCCTTTAAACAGTTTCCTTGATCATTTCTGCACAAGGAATTTGATTAAAAGGGATAGATAATAATGATCTTTTGAGCAAATGTATAAAAATCTAAATTAATGGCTGCAATTTGCTGCATTTGTAAGCTGTATAAACAATTTCTACTGCATAATTGAATATCATTTTTTGGTTTTGCACACATGGCTTCTATAGCAGTTTGCATTTTTTGTTTTGTTTTATGGAAGATGGTTTCCCTCTTTACACCAAACAACCAAAGTAGACAGTAATAAATGACAGAACATTGAGAAGCATTTATCAAAGGTTATCACCTGCAGTTACCAACCATTGCTAGCATTATATCCTGCTAATTGGCTAGTTACTAAATTGCTGCTTACCAAGATCTTATCATAATCATTGAAAAAAATGTTATCTGGTTCACTACAGCGTGTTATACAGAGCATGGAGCTAAAACAAATGTGCCTGTTATCAGATACCACCTTGGTTAAATCAGTATATTTTTTTTCAATAATTGAAGTTGATTACGCTATATTACTCTTGCTGGCTGAATAAAATAGCTAATCATTCAGCATTGCAAATTCTGTATTGTGAATACAGCATGCTTGCAGAGAAGAGACATTTATATTTCTTGTAAACAATTCCACTGTGACATTTTATCTGAACTGAAAAGTATTTGTATATATATTTTTTCATCTTCTTCATGAAATCAATTTCAGGCTAACATATAGAATACAAGCACTTATTTCCTTTTATACCACCCATTTAACTATTTTATTCAGAGTATTTTACTAACCTGTTTCTTTATTATATGGACTAATGATATATTAATATTAATATAATTGACATCAAATGCCTGGGCTGTAAATTACATTTTGGTATATATTGGGTATTATTGAAAATAACTTAGAGGGTTACTTTAAAACACTGAGATCTGGGGACTGATTGGACCCAGCTTTTGGAACTGGGATAAATTAAACATATGGGTACAGTTAGGGTTTTTGAGTGGTAGTTATGTTTTTGGGATTTAGGTTGGGTTTAAGAGTTGGGTTAAATAATATGATTAAAGGTTAATTCCCTACTTCTAGGACTTAGTTTAAGATTTATGGTTCAAGTGAAATACTAGTGTATACATGAGGTGAACCTAACAGCTTTAAAAACCATAAGGTCCTCTAGGTGTTGGGGGAGCTCTTTCAGTTCAAGAAAAGGGAAAGATACTCTGCATTTGCAGTAAAGGGCTACACAGACAGGGAAACCTTTCATATTGAAGGCAGTTTGTAACATGAAACATGTAGGATCACTTTTCTCTCCCTCCTTACCAACGGAGGGAGAGAACTGTATGTAAATAATACAGTTCTCTCCCCTGTCAGCTCCTACACACTGCTTTGTATTCACAAACGACAATATAGGGGCTCTGAGGAAGAGGCAAGTCCTCGAAACGCGTCAGGCTATTGGATTTCTACACTCCCTATTGCAGACTGTTAGTCAGTGCGGTGTTGACCCAGCTGTTCTTCATGATGTGCCTTGACTATATTGTCGTTTGTGAGTACAACACCTACTTTATTTTTTATTAAACATTTTTTATGGTAATGCACTAGGACTGTGCGCCTTCTGTTTTTTCTTTCCTCATTCAGTATATTTGGATTGCCCCAGTCTATTTGAGGGCAGCAAGGTGCATGTTCCAGGACATTCCTAATGTGGTTGTAGCCTGCATCAAGTCCATCCCCAAGCACAGGAGCATTTGTGTTTGCTGGTACACTGCTTTGTATGGCTTTGCATAGCAGAGCCATGCAAAGCAGTGTGCTTACAGTGAAGCACACACACACAACACACAGTAAAACAGCACACAGTTAACTCTTTGTTTGCCCCACATGCTAACCCCTTCCTGTCCAGTGCCATTAGAACAGTGTCAGTGCTTTTTATTAGCACTGATCACTGTATTGGTGTCACTGGTGATGTCAGTGACACCAAGTCAGTTCCCCCCAGTGTCAGAATGCCCACCGCAGTCTTGCTATAAGTCGCTGATCACCTCCATTACTAGTAAAAATGTAAAATCCCAGTATATATACCGCCATTTGTAAACGCTATAACGTTCACGAAAAACAATTAATTTACATATATTGGGATTTTTTTTTAGCAAAGACATATAGCAAAATACATTTTGGCCTAAATTTATGATGTTATTTGATTTAAAACATTTTTTACTGGATATGTTTAATAGCAAAACGTCAAAAATATTGTTTTTTTCTCAAAATTGTCGGTCATTTTTTTTATAGCGCAAAAAATAAAAACCGCACAGGCAATCAAATACCATCAAAAGAAAGCTCTATTCATGGGAAAGAGGACGTACATTTAATTTGGGTACAGTGTTGCATAACCGCGCAATTGTCAGTTAAAGTAACACAGCGCTGTAAACACAAAAAATGGCCTGGTCAGGAAGGGGGGTAAATCCCCTGGAGGACAAGTGGTTAAATTACACTGCTATTTGCATATTGTACTTGTTTGTAGCTTAAATACTGAAAATTGCACTTAAAACTGTAATTTTGTAACTTTTGGAAATTCCAGTAAAAGCGTGGCTGTGCCAGCAAGTTTTGGGTGTCATGTCAGTGAATTTCAATCCAGTAGGTTGGCAACACTGCCACCCCCCCTTACATCAGATGTTAAGATTCCTCCCACCATTAGCGGTCAAGAGTTCCCCATCCTCCCTTACATCACTGTACACCCCCATTACCTTGTGCTGCTACTGGGAAGAAGCTGGGGGTGGAGCTGGGAAGCAGAAAGTGCGGGGTCCGAAGGAGGATCAGAGGAGGGTTGGAGTTAGTTTCTGAAGTCTACTGAATGCTGAGATCAAGGAAGGCGGAGATGAAGGGGTGCTGTGGATGCACAGAGAAACGCAGGATCTGTAGGAGGAGTTCTGTCCTTCTCTCTGCTGCCAACTGCTGAGACAAGGTGGGGGCAGAAACAAAGGGGGTGCCACAGCTGCGGGAGAGGTGCAAGGGCCACATGAAAGGGACTACTGTTCTGGATTTGGACCATGGGCCTTGTGCATGACACATGTGTCCTAGAGTAACAGGTGGCTCCAGCTGAACAAATAAACCACTTTTTCACACTGTCTAAGATCATGTGCGAATGGGCTCTTAATTTTTTTTTTTACAATATTTCTATTATTTTTTACAATAAATAAGTAAGGTTCATTCCAAAGGTCAGATTAGGGCCAGGGACATTAAGGTTTACACTTGCTTTCTAGATGGGTTCTCATGCTAAAAAAACAGCCTACTGCTGAAAACAGAGCTTTCATTTACTGAAAGCCCTATTCAAAGTGTTACTAAACCTACAACAATAAAGTCAGTCTGTATATGCAGTAAAGCATGCTTGTTATACTCACTGTGGAACCTAAGGGGTTAATCCTCCACACTGTATAAAAAGGACGTTTGATCCTTTCTTCTTTGATCCTCCCCTTCTTCCAGTGTCTCCTAAATATCTCCTGCTAGAACAGAGGCTCGGGGGCAAGCTGCTTTGTTTACTGTGTATTGCTAGAGAG